GAACAATTCGGTAATACGTTATTTATCATCACCATTACGGATAATAACATTGGTCATGATATATCGTCATTTTCGCTGTATCCAGACGAAGAAGAGGTACTTATTGGACCTGGAAGAAATTTTTCGACAGACAAAGTTGAGTTTTCTAACGAACACAATAAACAGATCTCACCCATCCCATCCAGTTAGGAGCCCTGTTTACCAGTAATTGTACAATTTCTTCTCATAAGAGTAACTAGTATTAGCAGTATTAATGAACTAATAAGAGTAACTACACTTATCTCTCGTTCATTCGATAGTTAATGGTTAGGTCCTACTGAGACGGTGCACGAGCGATCTGCAAGTATTGCTTATAGTAGAATATGTTTCAGATAAAACCTTATGGTATCGGTTCAAAATAAGAATAATTTGATTGCTGCGGCTCTTCGAGCGTTATTGGGTAATCCCGTGACATTGAAAGGAAATGCTGAACCAGTCAATATCCTCCAACTATATCCATCCGTTGTTCCGTCGATAAATGCTCAAACATACCGCGAATGTCAGCAAATATTTGTGGAAATTCGTTCTGATAAACGCATTACATTTGACGTAGAACCAACAACTACTGTGTGCTCGACATCAAAGATAAACTTCATCTCCGAGAAAACATACCTGTCGAACACCAGAGGTTACTTCTAGATGGATACAAACTACTACAAGACGATAGGACCTTATCCGACTATTACATTAAAACAGATTCCACATTGTATCTTCAAGCGAGAATACCAAACACATTCGTTGTTTTTGTCAAAACACTGACGGGAAAAACTCTTACTGTTAATGCTCAACCGTCTGATACAATTGAAAATGTTAAACACAAAATTCAAGATTTAGAAGGTATACCATCTGATCAACAGAGATTAATTTTTGCCGGGAAGCAGCTTGAAGATGGTAGAACACTGAGCGACTATAATATTCAAGAAGAGAGTACGCTACACTTGATCTTACGTTTGAGAGGTGGTTACGCCATAAACGTACAAACTCTAGCAAATAAATCAATTGATGTTGGAATTAGCGAGACAGGTACTGTT